AACCAATGAGATAGCTACAGTAAAAATATAGCTAAACCAATTTATACACCATTATGTACAGTTTTAAACAAAAACATTAGCAGAATGTAATAAGAGGAAAGAGATAAAATATCTTTGTAGAGTTGATTTTCTACTGTCACATTCAAAACAAGCTGTTCACTCCCACACTTAGAATTCAGAAGCAACCTATTACTTCCCCTAAAGGGAGCTGACTAAACTAACCAGACTGCAACTTAGGCCACTGAGCTCATCTGAAAAAAAAAAAATTTCTCCAGCATATAAACAACATGAAATATAAATTCTTTAGAATTATATTGTTTATCATTGTTTTTCATTTCAGTTGCTTATTAACTTTCTAGAAAAGGTAAAAATAAGCAATTTGCTAACAAAATGCAAGTGGTTAGGTAAGGACCAGCTTACAAAACACAGCTGCAAAATTTTGTTCCTCAAATCTACAAACAGTAAAAGTAATGAACAGAATTCACAGAAATACTGGAATATGGAAAAAACCCCAAAACCCCAATATGAGAGCATAAAAGTAAACTGAAAGTGAAGCTCTTTTGACACAACGTAAACTGTCTGAATTACTGCATAACATCTTCAGCAGCTCCTCTCACTCTTATGCCCTGAGGAACATACTAACCTCAACTTTTTCTCCCCTGATATTTAAAAGTCAGCCTTTGGTCCAACTATGAATGAGTTTGTATATGACAAGAACAAGGATCAGTAGAACATTTTACCTCTTCCTTAGGCCCTAAGATTTGTGTAAAAGAGGTGATGCAAACAAGATCAGCATATATATATATGTATATATATATTTATACCACACACACATATATATTCTGTATATCACACACACTGTTACAATTCCAAATATGTTAATGATTGGGTGTACTGGTCTGGTTGAGACAAGAGCTAATTTTCTTCACAGGAGCCCTCAAAGTGCTGTGCTCTGTATGGGAAGCTAGAAAGGTGCTGGTAGCATACCAGTCCTTGGCTACTGCCAAGCAGTGCCAGCACAGTGTCAACACTGTGTCTGTAAATTCCCCCTCACCTGGAGGGGCTGGGCAAGATCCTGGGAGGGGACACAGGCAGAGCAGCTGAGCCAAAGTGACTCCCATTCCATATGGCATCAGCTCAGCAACACAAGCCAAGGGAAGAGAGGAGGAGGAAGGCATGAGAAGGGAAGGGGACATTCCTTATTTATGACATGTCTTCTGGAGCAAACTCTATGCATGCTGAAGCCCCACTTCCCAGGAAGTGGTCACACACTATCTACTGATGGGATCTTTTGGTTTCTTTGGTTCCATGTGTGGACTTTGCTTTTGCTTTAATGAACTGCCTTTATCTTGATCCAAAATTTATTTCTTCAATTTTATTTTCTTTTCCCTGTTTTGCTGAGGAGGAGAATGTCAGAGTGGTTTGGTGGGCACCTGGTGTTCAGCCAGGGCCATCCCTCTATATTAGGACAAAATAGCGGGATTAGTTTTTTGAGAATTATACAATGGCATGGAAACTCACAGATGTCAGAAAAATAAGAGTGCAGCTAAACTTGATGCAACTAAGTTTCTTGAAACACATAGAAATTAGCTTCCTATGGGTACCAAAAGTCTTAAACATTTCTTCACAGAATTCCACAAGTGGCTCAGCTGGAGAGGTACACTCCAGGTGTTATCTACCCCTGTACAGAGGAGATGTAGAAAGAGAAAAAAGTACTGAGGTATGTCACCTTTCAGTCCTCTATCATTTCCCATTAAAATGTTGGTGTCAGGACTCTCACAGCTTGTTATGCTAAACTCCTGAAGAGAGATGGACTGTATGAAAGGCTGTCTGCCAGTAACATCCACAGCAGTGAGACTATTAATTTTATCTTGCTATTAAGGTCTTGTACAGAGAGAGAAAAAAGATGGTACTAATGCCTCAGCTGTTGCATTTCACATCATATTTTCAGTAAGTGAAGCACCATCAGTGTTGTGTGAACTTGCAAGGGAAACCTGAATTCTGAACCCACTGTACCAGACATACTATGAAGCCAAATGAATGATACTGATTCAAAATGTTAAGAACATGCAAAACAATCTCAAATCTGCTTAAGCAGTACTGCAGACTCTCATTCCAGCTTCCATCAAGAGAAATACCTGTCTTAGACTAGTAGGTACCTTCAGAGAGACCTCAACAAGTTAGAGAGCTGGGCAATCACCAATCGTATGAAGTTTTACACTGTAAAGTGCCAGATTCTGCACTTAAGATGGGGCAACCCAGGATGTACAGACAGACTGGGGAATGAGAGGTTGGAGAGCAGCACTGAGGAAAGGGACCTGGGGGTCCTGGTCAGCAGAAAACTGAACATGAGCAGCAGTGCCAGTCTTGTCCTGGGGGCATCAGACACAGCATGGCCAGCTGGGCAAGGCAGGGGATTGTCCTGCTCTGCTCTGAGCTGGGGAGGCCTTACCTCAAGTGCAGGGGGCAGTTTTGGGAATAAAACATACAGAAGTCATTAAAATATGAGACAGTGTCCAAAGCAAGGCCATGAGGACGGCAAAGAGAGGAAGCTGTATGAGGAGCTGCTGAGGTCACTTGGTCTGTTCAGCCTGAAGGAGACTGAGGGGAGTCCTCCTTGCAGCCATCAATATCCCCATAGAGGGAAGAGGAGGGGCAGACACCGATCTCATCACTCTCATGACCAGCGTGAGAAATTGAGGACATGACATGAAGCTGAGTCAGGGGAGGTTTAGGTTGGATATCCATGGAAAGGGTGGTTGAACACTGGAAGAGGCTCCTCAGGGAAGTGATCACAGCATGAAGCCTGTCTGAATTCAAGAAGCTTTGCACAACATTCTGGAGAACAGGGTGTGACTCTTGGGGTGTCCTGCACAAGGCCAGGCATTGGACTTGATGCTCCTGATGGGTCCCTTCCAACTCAGCACATTCTATGATTCTGTGATTCCTCACATGCAGCTTAAGTAATTATCCAATATATGAGGGAAACCTAGGCTTCATTTCTGGAACATGAGAAAAATAATTTCTTACAGGGGAAAGAAGCTACCTAAGGACCTCAGCTAAGCCTGGACTGCACAGAAACATTAGCATTCATTGCTTATTATAACAAAAAAGGTACATGCAGTTACAGGGAGTAGTACTGCAACACAGTAGTTATTTCATATCTGATTCACATTTTTCAGCCTGAACAACTGAGATTTGAACCTGTAAAAACATCCCACAAAAAAAAACCTTAAAAAACAAAGTTATAGAAAATCATATGCTAGAAAAATTTCCACTGGCCTTTTTTTCCAATTTAATTTCTAATAGCTTCATCTCTAAAGGTATTATTTTTGAGCAAGAGTATTGTAACACTCCCAGAGAGCCAGAAAATTACTGCAACAAATTGATAGAATACCTAGGATGGTACATATTACATTAAAAAATAGAAGTCTAGACTTTGCCTCCTGTTGACTGGATGTTGTCTTTTTGGGTAATATGACTCCATATTTTAGTAAAGAGCTACTACCTATGTCTTCATATTTAGAGCTGCACATGAATACAGCTTTAACACTGAGCAGGAATTTCTGTTTTACTCTAACACAGAGAGTTCTCTTCTGAATAGTCACTGCCTCCCAAAGCCTGTCTTTAATGACTTTTTAATTGGAAGCTTGCAAAGGAATGAAATCCCAATTTCCCATCAGCAACACTATTTCTCATTGTTAAAAATTTCTTGCAAAACACTATGTATTGGAAAAGAGCAGACCATGCCTAATTTGTGTATTGGAAATTTATTCTACCAAAGAGGCTCTACATAATATAATCTTTCTATCCAGTTGCCAAGAAATAATTTTCAATCAAATGTCAATTTAATTACACAGTACTCTTCCTTCCCTGATTTTACATAAATACAACTTCTCTGAGAAGCAAGCAAGCAAAATTTGAGTCTCACAATGTATCTTCATTATCCTTCAAACTCCAGGCACCTAGTGTATCAGAATGACCACTGCTAGGTAGCTGCAGATGTACTAGTCATTACCCAAAGAAATACCAAACACTGTCCATCTTGCTTAGATGGTTACCTTTGTGCATTCAATTAATTCTTTCCCATTTACAATTATGACTGTTAGGAAGAATAGTGTAAGACTGCATTCATTACCTGGTCAGAAAAAGACTGCAAGGAAGAATAGAACTTTAGTTAAATATTTTTGAACTTAGGTTGCTACAAAACTGCCTTTTACTCAACATACCACCCCAAGTCAAACATACTTTCTATTTCACTAGCACAATGCATAATAGCAAAATACTTCCAAAACAACATACAATTCTATTCTTAAAGGCAGTGAGTGATTTTATCTTAAAAAAAAAAAACATTCACAAGGTTTATTCATTATGGCATTGGAATGTGTCATTTACCTTCATGCTCACCCAGGTGGTTATGAATTGATCCTTACCTGTATCACCTGGAGAAATGCTGTGGCAAATAAGATTACTAATGCTTTTCTAGGGCCAAAGCACAGTAAAAATCAGCAAAGCATAACCATCTTATCTAGAAATACCATTTCCAAACCCTACAAATTGAAAAATGATTGGGGATGAGCTGGTCATCCAAACTAGGAAGAGAATTAAAATAGAACCTATTTTTTATCTCCACCTTCTGGCAGGTTTTCATGATTTGGGTTCCCTGGCACAGCCTGACTTCAAAGAATATCAGAAAGGTAATATAGAGGAATAAACTGAAACCCAACCAAAAATAGCTACAAAATTTCACCGCAAGAAATAAGGATGAAATACAAAACAGTGGCTGAGAGGGAGAGGAAAACACAAGATGACTCAGAAAAAGACAGACAATTCAGAAATACATTTTATGTCTTTACTGAATGTACACAGTACAAAGAATTGCTAACAGTACATTAGACTATATAGCTTTTACACTGTATTTTTATTTGCTTGTCCATTGTTTTTATGCTTTCCTCATTTGCTTTCATAATGATTTTTTTTTTGTAATTACCCACATTTACCAGATTCCATGGTCATCTGAAGTAATCCATCAAGAGCCCTGGAAAGCAGACTTGCACTGGATACTTTTAGGTGACTTAATACAACAGGCACACATTGGTATTCCAAAAATAAGGCCTTCCCTTCATCTGTCTTCAAGTCTGCACGAAGGGACTCAAATGCCTGAGCCAGGTAATCCACTGAAAATACCAAATACAGGCAATAAAACTTCTATAATCCTTGTCTCATTAAGCCATGTGAACAACTATCTGACAGCTACCATGGCAGATACACACTTAAAAGTTAAACAGCTGAAAATACTAAATTTACTTTTTATTTGAAGATGCCCTCTGCCTATTTGTATTCCTTAACAATCCATTGTGAGTGGAGAAAAAGATTATCTACAATTCATATATTTAAGAAAAATATACTTACAAATGTAAAGTCCTGCAAATATTTTGTTAAAGAGAAAAAAAAAAACAAACTCGCATAGTTTGAGACAATGTTGGTTTGAACATCTGGGAAACCTCTATTAAGGGAGTCAGTGGCTGATTTGTCTGAGTGAGGGCAATTATTTTCATGAGAGCAACTACTCCCATTCCTTCTCTAAAAAGCTGTATATTTCAGTATAAACATTTTATATTCTCATCCATTTGGAGAAATTATACAAAGGATGTAGATTAAGTGAACCAATCTATTTTCTTAACTTCTTAACCTGCTGTCAAATCTTCCTCGGTATCTTGGTATTGCATTGATCATCTGGAGCACAGAAAATTAAGCAGAAGGAAACAAGTTATCCTACTGCATAAGTTTAACTAGGGTGCCATCTGCTGGCTACTGACATTTTGAAGGAATGAGGACATATGTTCCAACCAAATCTGCTATTTTATCACCACATCATTAGTGCCATGTGGTCAGAGTGATCAAAATTCATATAATTCATACACGGTGATATCTGACATATGTTTAACAACAGATCATATTTTCTGTGCTACAGCAGCCAGCAGTACAAAGCAACCATGAAAAGCTAAACTGATTCATTCTAATAAGGAGTGTTCATCTGCTTAGGGAAAATCAGTCTCTGCAATGACTAGATTTTTATTTCAATTCTTCTTGCATTGTTTTTATCAAACATTCCTAGAATGTGAGTATCAATTTGAGACTAATTATCATGCTTCACCCAAATATGTTGACTGAAATAGTTCCCTCCAACAGCTGGAACACTGTGTTAGTTCACAAATGATGTCAGGATGGTCTTCCACCATGTTTTATTCCTGTGAGTATTAACTATAAATACTCACAATATAAATATTGCACAGGTCATTAAGCATAAAAAGATACTAATCTGCTTAAACATCTAAACTAGAAGCACAACTTCCATGAATAAAAACTCTATTCATTACTTATGCATTTAAAATATTTGGCATTCCTGTTTTGTGTCAATCAGGGTGCCACAGATAGTAGCAATTTTGTGATGTGGATCTCTGCTATCTAAGAATTGCCCCAAAACCTAACATATTTCATGGAGGAGACTAAAAAAATCAGATGCCAAAAGCAGGCATCTGATTTTGACATTTTTGCATGGTATGTCAGGAGTACCTTGAAAATTAACATCTCTGTAACCTGTATCAATCTCTTCATGTTACTGACAAAAGAAATGTGTTACTTGTAAAGATATTTTAAAATACAAACCATTCTGAGGAAAAATGATAGCAAAAATGGAAACAGGAATAATTCAAGTTGGCATCTAGTCCAACCTTCCTGACAAAAGCAGAACCTTCTCTGAGGTTAGGTTAGATTGCTCAGTTGTAACTCCACTAAAAAATTACTTGCTATCAAAATGATCCATGCTTTTGGATTGTCTTTGAAAAGGGAAAATAAGTGGTTGATACCACAAAGAGTTGGAAAAGGGTGATAGAGATGTTTGTTCCTATGCTATCCGTGTAAAATTTATTCTTGCAGAAAGCCCCGGTTATGCAGACACACAGTACTGCTGAGTTGGTGCAGGTAAGCAGCAATCACATCTTACACCTGCTCTTAATGGTATTTACTTTTCTGTCTGACTTCCATAAAAAAGGATCTGCAACACCTTGTTCCCTGTTTCTCCTGAAGAAAGATAAGACATTAAAACTGAAGGCAGCAGTTAAAAAATCAGCTGAGAGAAGAGTTCTTATTCTTTGAGTTGTATTTTTCACATCTTTTCTCACGCTGTTCAGACACAATCTGATTTGTGTAATCTTGCAGTGTCTACTTTGAAACCTTTATCTTCTCCCCCCTCTTCATAATGCTGACTTGTCAAGTCATCATACTGACAAAAACGCAAATTCTAACATAAAATGAATAATAGCAAGATTTATACTTGTATATTTTGCTTCACAATACCCAAGTAAAATCACTTTTCACTAATAAAGCATAATAGACTCCACAGTATCATTAAAATGCTTTTAGTCAGGCATCTGACTGAAACAGATAAATTAATGTTAAAAAAAATCTTGACCTACCTTGTTTCACTGTTTTAAGCACAATCAAAGTTGACAGAAACCTCAGAGGCATACAGAAACTCTTGAAGAAAGCTGCTGACTTTGATTTACTTTCTGTAGGCTGTTCAGAAGAACTCTGTGGGTTTCCCTTACTCACTATGCCTTTGAAGATATCTTCACCAAGTCTCCTCATGGTTGATCCCATTGCTGTGTGCTGCTTCAAACAGTGCATGTAGTTAGTGCAAACACTACAACTTGACATACATATGTTCTCCATGCAATTAAACATTAAATTGCAAATGCTTTGACCATGTATAGGAATATAATCAGTACAGGAGATACTGCTTTGTTTCAAAAGCTGTTGAACAATATTAACATGGTGCCTTATCAACACACACTTCAGCAAGAGACTAATTAGTGAGGGTCCTGGATACTCTGATGTTATTTAAGTTGCCTCTGGTTCCAGAAAAAGCTGCTCCAGTCAAATCAATTTTGTAAGCTTGCCTGAAGTTATGTCCTTTAAAAGCATGTACAGAATCAAGGTCTAAATACGAAGCTGGAAAACACTGTACAGGTAACATCTACTAGATTTTCATCATAAACTCTATAGAAATATTTCCACAGAATCAAACTACACAATATGCTTGTTTAAAACATAGTCACTTATTAGAACTAAACCAAACATCTTACTATTGTATTGAATTTAAACTGAGGATCTTTACAAAGTTTCTAGCATTTGAACATTGACAGCACTCTGCTGGGTCTTTACAGTATGACAACTGTCTTTTTCTTTATTATATTGCTAAATATTTTCTTATGGCAGTCTGGTCAAAAAGAGCAAGGAATGTCTTCTGGTTAGACACCAAGCAGAGGACAGAAAAACCAAAATTTCTTCACCGCTTTGCCACTCACTTCCATCACTTTCAACAAATCTCATTCTCATAAATGACACACTATGAAATAACTGCCTTCTCTAGTGCAAGCTTTGCTAATACATATGCAAAAATAGAACTTCAGACGTGCTTAGACAACACAAAAGAGATCACATACATAGGGAAACTACATTTAAATACACAGTGCAAAATTTAAATTTAACTTGCAGGCGAATTTATTTTTCATTTGCCGCTTTCTGTGGTCAACACTATGAATTTATGTTTTACAAAGACAGCAGTTTCTTTTCTATATGCTACCTGAAAATATCCATTTTTCCTATGTATTTAATATGTAAAATCCTTTAATATCTTCCATGATTTTTTTTAAATATACTGCAGGATGACTACTTGTTTTACCTGTGTATCAGTGTCTAACTGTCTTATAGACCAGTAAATAAATTTAATCACAGGCACGTGCAGTTTAGGATTCACATATGGCATCCACTGGAGTTGCTCAGCAGCTACAGGCAAAAGCTGCAAAAATATACAAAAATAGAATTACATGCAGTATATGAACTATTTTCTAAAAACAAACAAACCTCCTAACTTTCTCTTGGAGGTTATCAGATTACATATGCAAATGTTTCTGGGCAGATCCAGTACAGCTAACAGAATTATATGCATACAGAGATGTTAAATTTTACATAGGTTTACATGTGGGAGTAGAGATACATGTGATCTCAATCTCATGTCAATCCAATCACAGTGGCTACAAATCTTTTATATAATAAATAAATATAACAAAGTGAATTTTCTGAATACCTCACTGATTTCTAAATCTTGGTATCACAAGAAAAAACAACAGAGGTGTTGAAATACAGCATAGCATCACCTTTTATTGGTGATAAATTGAAATTTTAATATCTAAATAGGCATAAAAATATTTTAAATTTGACTTGTTGATCTCCTTAGAACAATGCATCACACATAAAACACATGACAAGCTACCACCACACAGAAGTCACTTGAAATAAAATGCTGAAGCTCTTAGGTTGAGACAGCATATCACTTTTTATTAAAAATTATCTGTATGCTTTACAAATGAAAAATTATCTATTATATATCACTGCTGCAGTGAGAATACTGACTTACTAACAATTCTTTTGTTTTAATTACATGATGACCTGTTATACTCTCAGAATCATTTAAAACACAGTGAAATTAACACAAGCACACAACCCAAACCCCTTTACCTTCATACACTTTTCCTGAGTACAGGAGTTCTTTGAGCTCTGGGTAACCCTAGGTTTATGACTGTCCTCTCTCTCTTGTGTGTTTATTTTGCTAAGATGCTGGTCAGAGATCCAATCCATAAGGTAAGTTAAGAGCTCATAGACTTGTGAATTCAATGGTAGCTGCAATATATTCACATCATCAGATGTTTCAGCTTTCAATTTAATGGTTTTTCTAAGCTAAAACAGTAACAGACTGAAATACATGACAGTACATTAGCTATGAAATATTATGCATAATAGAAAGGATAAGAATTTTATGCCTGATAAAATCTGAGAGGTAAGTTACTGTAGTGTGAGCTTGTGGAAAATGTATTCAAGCAGACAGTGATCTTGAACAGGCCATGTGTGCTCTGCTGCCCTGGTACCTAAGGTTTGAGAAGCCTGCATAGCATGAATGGAACTGTACCTTACAGCACCTCTGGGAAAGGTAAACTGCAGGCAGATCAAAGGTGGGAGGGTGGCAGTCCTGCCTGGGAGACCCCTGTACATCAAGGAGTCAGAGACCCACACCACAGGCAGCTCGAGCAGTGCAGCCTGTGCTGTGCTGCACAGACAACCAACTGCACAGTTTATCCTGTGCCTGGCTGCAGGGTAAACTCAGGCAGCTCCCTCTTGGTACTGCTGATCCTGCCTGGCCTTGGCCTTGTCTAAAAGGGCAACAAGTTCTTCTCCCATTAATGTCCTTCATGAACAGAGTTGTTTTCTTGCAAGATATGTAAAATGATATATATGTTGTGTGGCCAAAAAGGAGGGGCTTTTCTCAATGGACAGGCTCTGCTCAGCACGCCCTGGGAAAAGTCCACCAGGGCTCCATTTGATGCTGCACAAACACAATATTCCCAGCATCTAAAGAGACACAAGATTTGCTCACTCCCCATATTCCTCCTCTTACTCTGTCTTATTTTAATAGCCATTTAATGAAGCCATTTGTTGTCAGCCTTTCTTACAAAGATCCAGAAGGAACCCTGCAGTGTTTCTTTCTCTTTCTCTCACACTTCACTCCCCTGTGCAAAACAAACATCTATAGTGATGATTTCTTGGTGTGAAAAACATATGCCCATAATTTCTTTTGTACTTGATGAAATGGTAGTAAAACAGCTTGCAAAAAAATTCATACAGAATCACTACACTTTATAATTCTGGACAAATGAAATACAGGAGAAAACAAGTCTTTTAAGTCCTTCACTTTAAAGGGTGTGAGAAATTCTTATTTCAATATACTAGACCTACTTTGTTTCATTTCATGAAATCCACTGTTGATAATTTAACTGGGTAACTAGTATTGTTTAAAAAAAGAACAAAGATTTAATGAAACTCTCATCTTGGCTCTACTACATTGCAATTAAATACTCTACAAAAGAAATCCAGAGATCCCTGAAGACAGACTGCATGAACAATTCCCTAAAGACATCAAAACTTTTCTTCTATCTACCTTCAGATAACTCTTTTCCTCTTCACTCAGAACTATAACTACTGACACTATTTGTATTTCATGTGCAACGAAGTATGCTAAAACCTATATGGAGAGAATTTGTTTGCTATATGTGGACAGCACAATCACTGTAGAGCAATTAGATAGGGTGATGTGAATATCTTTCGCATTTCACAGTTCACCTCTAGCTGGAAAAAAAAGCATAACCAGCTGGGAGATGTTGGCAAAGTAATACCATAAATGGAACAACAGGGAGACAGAAAGAATTTCAGTAAGTGATGTAAGAAGGATTTTTAAGGAAAAAAGGTGATTGTTTTGGAACTGTGAATGAACACTGCATTTAATCTCAGTCCTTCACTAAAGATTATTTCTCAAAAACATAGTAATAGTATACCACTTTTGGTTTAGAAGATTAAGTTCTTTATTGGATACTTCTGAAAGACTACTTTTTACCTGGTGTTAGTCATAAGGATAGTGCTGTACTGTAGCAGTAACCAGAATGAGTCTAAGATGTGTTCTGATGCACCAAAAGAAACCTGTGTCAGTGGATGCAGGTTATAATTCTAATTGGCAGATGAAAGATAACATGATTTGAGGAGAAAAACTTGTCATATAAAGAAAAATATACACATACACAATATGAAATGCAAGACACATTTTTAGCAACAAAGTTAACTCTTTGTTAAGTATGGGTTTTCCCCCAGTATAATCTATTTCTCTTCTTAAAGTACCTCATAAAATGCTACATTTTGCAATTTCTAGCAGATGCAGAGAAAATGTTACACTGCCTAATATCTTCCAAATGAAAACATTCAAGACTTCTGCTTAATTCTTACCGTAGCAGTTCTTGATTTTGCCATCACTTTTTCCTGTTTCACAGGTTTGCCTTCGTTCATCACTTGACACAAATCATTAGATTTCCATACCTTTGAAAATTCATGCTTCCTCTAAACAAAATATAACAATGAATTATATTTCACTGGTTACCTATTATAAAAGCAGGTACATGTAAGAACAAACCTTACTTGCAGATTTTCTAAACGAGCTTTTGCTTTTCGTGCTTGACCTTCCAACTTCTTGTTCAACTCAGTTACATCACTTAACTGAAAGGAGAAAATATTAAACTGTCTGTAAATTCAAAACTCACACCTTGACTTAATTATCACACTGAAGTAACTTAATTTTGCTGAGCAGCTAAATTATTTAAGTTTTTTCTTATTATCATGAAAAGTGATAGAAACAAAATCATCATTCACTTCCCCCAACAAATTACAGAATCATAGACTGGTTGAGATTTGAGAGCACCTCTGGAAGACACCTGGTCCAACCCTCAGCTCAAGCTGGGCCAGGAAGAAGTGTCAGTGTAGTGCTTATGTCTGGCTGCTATGTCCAGACAGATTTTGAATAGTTCCAAGGCATTAGACTCTTATCACCTCTGTGGTGATAAGATAAATAAGGATAAGTTCCAGGATAAATAAGACAGCAGCAGTATCTCTGCAGTCCAATCTTTCAGAGTGCAGGGGAAGAATAAGCACTACAATGGCACTCTTAGATATACATGCACTTCACATTTGATTACTTATCATGAAGGAGTGACAAAAATGCACAAATTCAAGAATGTTAATCATAGTCTTGTTAATGGGGAAGGTGGTTACTGACCATGCTAAAAAAACAGTTTGCTTGGTGAGAAAAGATCAGGAAAACTGCAACCTCTATTTAAATAAACAAAACCCCATGCTTTCTCCATACAACAATAAACAGCATGATCATCACAGAAGCCCTCAGTTTGCACAGAAATGCAAAGATTTTACAGTGAGAGGAAATAATGAGACGGATGGGTTGCATCAGAACCATCAACATTCTAGAAGTTAGGTCTGAGGTCTTTCCCTTCTTAAGGGAAAGAATAAGGTTCTGCTGTAGATTTTTATTGTATTCAGATCATCAGAATATTAATTAGGTCAATGAATAAACAATGCCCAAATAATTAAGGTAATTTGTGTATCACCATTTTAGATCAGACTTAACAGTCAAGTGAGACAAATTCCTACTCTATGCATTACTATGAAACACACCATTCTAGTTTACAAATTGAGAAAATATTGCCTTCATTAAAATTTGCAAAAATAACTGAAAATACTGATCAAACATTAAGTTAGAAATAAACATTCTACTTTTTATTTAATAGAATCAGCATAGCAATTTGGCACAAATCTCCACAGGGTGGATTCCATTATGTCCATTTATATTCCATATAAAATACTTTCTCTCCATCCACTCTCAATGGACTTTCCCTTCCTAATAAGTAGCTGTAGCTAGTGAGTCAGTAGAATAAATCCTACTTCTTTTTTATACTGCAAAAGATCAGAAAGGCTAAATTTCAAGTACTAGAAACAGGTGAGAAAAATATTTTCAGTCATTCATACAATTCTTGACTTAGAGAAACAAAAGGTCAGAAATTTTGCAAACTCAAGCTGCTCAAATATTTGTTGACTCTAACTTGTAGAATTATTTATGACAGGAAATAATAAAGTTTACCTGCTTTCTTAAAGAGTCATTCACATCCCTCAAGCTGTCATATGACGACTTCAGCCTCCTGTTTTCTTTAGTTATTTCTCTCAAGGCTTCTGTCAGCTGCTTAACTTCTGCCTCATGTTGCTGTAGAAATATCAAATTTAAGAACATGTTTTAAAAGAGACTATTCAAGAAACAAGTTCCAGTTTAGTGCTAAAAGAGTTGGACAAACTTTCTAATATGAATTTCTTCATGTCCAAATTTACATGTTTAGTCAGCAGGGAGAAAAACAAGCTCTGTACTGCCTATTAAGAAGGATCTATACAGAAACTGAGAGCAACATACACAGCCTGGAGCTCCTATTGCTGCCTATTCTACCCAGACCAACTATATACATGTATATTTCTCAAACAATTCAGATGGGGAAAGTGTTTATGAACTAAAATCAGTGACAAAGCTTTTACTTAAAGCTCACTCTCCCAAATATTTACAAAAAGTTGTGACTGTGTTTTGGGCCTTACCCTGAATCACACAGAGAAACTAATCCTATGCCTTGTTGAGAGGTTTACGACACAAACATATGAATTATAAAATACAATCTACATATTTACTGTCATTCAACTCTTATTCCTTAAGTTTCTTTTATATTTAATCTTCTCTGGACCTTCGATTTAAGTACCTCAGATTTGGTAAAATAGCAAGGTTTTATTTTACTGGAAATATTCTAGCTTCCATTTCCCTCCTTCCATGAATTCACTCTTCTTCACTACTTTTCCTTTCCACACCCCCAAAGTCAGGCTGGTGTTCCTCCAAAATTTTTGAGTCTTTGTGTGCTAGTACCCTCTGCAATAGGTGTTATGTCAGAAGATCTCAATGTGTCTTAAATCATTCCCAAGGAAATCCACTGCAACTACAGCTAATGCAAAGATACTCATTTAACTTAGACACAATTACAGACAGACCACATTTTTCCTCTAATATTGCTTACATAGCTTTCACTATTTTACAAAAAAAATTACCTCCTTTTTCTAACTGGTAACTGTAAAATGTACTACATATCAGACAAGTAAATGCACCATTCTGAAAAAGAAGTCATACAAAAACTCTAGCAATATTGTTCAGTACTTTTTATTTAAATCTTTCATTTGGGGATTTCAAGGACTTCAAAGAAATAAGCAGGATTTCCAGCAAACATGTCATGGCTTAAGATAACTACAAATTAGTTCAAGCGCATATAGAGCAATAACTATCATTAATTATTTCACCTCTTTTATAGCTGCAATTTTTGTGTGAACTTCTTCCTCAACACCTCTTATTTTAGCCAAAGCTGCTTCATGTTGAAAAAACAATGTTTCTTGTTCTGTTAGAGAACGCTCTCGTTTCTGCAGCTGCAGAGCATACTCCTGCTGTGCTGAACTTTCTCTCTGTATCAAGAAAAAAAATGTTAAGTTACTTTAAATACGCATGTGAAGTGTTCCCAAATTATGCTGAATTTAAAATTTTGTCCCAGAGATATGTTTAGCTCTTTGTGAAATTATAGTTACACAAGAGCGTATTGATACAAAGTATCCTGGCAGCCACTTCTGTTCAGTTTCCTCCCACATTAACCCAAAGACCTCCATGGGCATTGGAATTGCTCAGCCTCCCAAAATGCAAAATTTAACCCTACATTGTTGCTCCAGAAAATTAAACTTTGGCTTTTGTTTCTAAATATTTGGATAATGGTATTAACTGTAAGACAGAATAGAGTCTGATGTGACTGTGTGTTGAACACCAGATTAATGATATTGTTTCTTCAACTAGTGAGAAGCATCCCTGAAAAAGCGGTGAAGAAAAAAAAGATATATAAAATTATTTTTATCTCATATACTGGAAAAGACAATTATGGCAGGGAATGCAGCAGAAACTTAGGAACTATTACAGAGTAAAATCATATAGAAGGCTCTTTTATTAGTAGCCTAAACCTGCTGGAGATGAGCTGGTGGGATGAGCAGAGGGATTTGGAGGAGGCCATGAGGCCAAGTGCTTTGGAATGCCTAGAGTCAGAACAGTTTCAGATGTTCTCAAGAGAAGCACTGGTTGTGAGTGCTTCCCTCTACACACACAGTGTGTCAGGAGACAGTCTTGGATGTAGAAACACGGTTCCAGCTCCCTCAAGCTGAATCTGCCCACCTACCCATCTACCTGGTCTACCCATAACTCAAGCCAAAGCACCATTACTGAATCACTGAATTAATCAAAGGGAAGAGGAAGATAGAGAAACAGATTTAGTATATAAGTAACTGTGATTAATATAAATTAATAGTAAAAAATAATAATTTACTATATAAGTAAGTTTTACTATATAAGTATTTTCAGTTTTCTTTCTCAAAAGTGAGAATATTCATAGTGTTATTCAACAAAAATTTGAAGGTGATTCCAGTTCCTACCTGGAGCTTCTGATGTATGACAAATAATTCATCATAAATCTGACTGATGTGAGGTGGTATTAAACCTTGCCTATTGTATGCCTGAGTACCAGTTCCATGCACAATTTTCTTTAACAAACCATGGTTGATAATTTGGTCTGTATTTTCTTGAGTATTTGCAGCCAAATGAGATGGTAAAGTGAGGCCTGTGGACAGGATAAAAAATGCATTTTACATTAAAAAATCAGACCTAGTTAAATATTGATATGATTATTGTACTAAACCAGTAAAAATGTGTTCTAGGAATTCAGAGTTACAAGTACAGAGAGAGATGTATCAAAATGTGAAAGTAATCTAAAGAATTACAGAGATTTGATCCAAGTTCTTGTTCCATGATTTATTCAAACTGACCAAGAATCAACAGTTTTTCAAGTAAAACTATGCCCTCCACTGCAATATAGAAATCCCAGAGATATCTGTATGGAATCTGTACACAGACTGAATCATGTCACCAAAATCTCCTATAATTTTTGTAAGGGCTTCAGGTAAGTGATCTGCTGCTGATTAGACCTTAGGGTGACATCTAAGTAAACAGGACAAGACTTAAGAAACTACTGGATGCCACATGAGAAAATAACATTAGTATTGCTTCAAGCATGTCTGAACCTCCTAAAATAATTCTAAAGAAAGAACTCATGTGAAAGCTAAAATCCCCACATTAAAATACCTTTTAAGTGACTAGTGTATTTCTGAACTGAACAGAAATACATTTACTAGGAAGTTTTTAAAGTTACATGTTATACTTCACAGAGAGTTGTAAGAATGTATAGAATTAAATTTTTATTACCTGCTCCCGTGTATATAGCGGTATTTTGAACTGCATCAGTTTCAGAGCAAATAATGCTGTCTTCTTCTATGTCTAGACCACTTGAACCACAAAAATAATCTTGCTCATGATCAAAACTAAAAGTACAAAAGAGCACTAACTTTAAATTACTCAATTCCTTTCTAACATCATACATAACACAGACTGAAACAAGTCTATATAAAAAGGCAAATATTGCTTAATGTAAGACTTTGATATTTTACTGATAACAAATAGCAGAGTTAAATCATTTGGATGAAAGGCATTGTTACTCACAAATCTCAACCACAGAAATTACATGTTGCTGACTTAAGAGTTGTTACAATAACTAGGCTTTTCACACTGTAAGCACATGTAAGTAACAGGTAAAACCAGCACTCTTCTCTTACCACAAACCACCAAATTCCCAGAGAACTAAAAATACAACTCCCCTTTTTAAGTTGTATTTTCCTATTTGGTGTAAAATAGCCTTTAAAAGAGATTTCTGGGCATTTGGAATTATCTCTAAATAAACATAAATGTGCTTATCAGTCTGGGCTATTCACTTTCCTCCTAGTTAATTTTTTATCACCTAGTTAAATTCACGTCATTCCTGTATTCCCTTAGCAATTCCAACATACACAGATTAGATTAGAAAGTGAAACAATATTCCTCATCAAAATCAGCATCCTCATGGATCACATAAGTAAAGAACTGTTTGTAGCTAATTTAACAAGAAAACAAGAAGCTTAAAGCAACTTTTACACTGTCCAAATACATCTGTTTTATCTCTGCTTTTATGAGGGAAAAAAAAAAGGAGAAATAAAACCACCTCCTACCAATCACAGTTTTTCAAACTTTTCTGGAAATCACTAGATCTGATGCTCTTCTCTCTTCCAGCTTCAGTAAATTCTGACTCTAAGGAACAATTTGATAAAGAAATAGTTATATTTTTCAGTGAGCTGTCAGTGCCACCTGAAATATATAAAATTGCAACAACTTTATTTCACATTTGAGAAGCTGACATTAAGAAATCAATAAGGACTTATTAGAAGTACTTGCCATGTAGTCCATGTAGGTTTAAGAACCAAAACCACCATTAATGCAGCCCAATGAATTATGAACTTAACTACAACAGCTTAAGGCATAGTAAGAATTATTTGGCTTTCACACGATTTGTCTTTCTGAAATTTTAGAGCTTGTCTGCCTATGGAAATTTTTCTGTCACTGAAATCTGACAAATAACCAGCTGTCTCCATGCTCCAGTTTCTGAAAGAGACCAAATGTGTTCTAGATATTAAACATTTATGTATCTTTAAATTAAAGCTAAACACATGCATTATGAAGTAAACTGCTACAACTAACTCAAGCAGGACTTAAAGACAAACAGGCTGTGAACCATTGCTCCAAAACATCCTTTGCACTCTTTACTTGTCATAATTCCCAGGCTGGCTCCCAGGTATCACAATGCCCTGATCAAGATTACCTATCTATTTAAAATGAGAAAATACAAAACTAAATAAATAGTTGTTTGGGAACAACGCAGCTTTAGTATGTTTTCCCTGTAAAAGATATCAAAGCACCATTGCTTGGTATTACCTTTGTAAACTAGGGAGCTTCTGCTTTTACATTTGGTATGCAATGCTCCTGAGAGGCAATCCTATAAGAAAGCACAAAACCACTGCAGTCTAGTCAGAGTTTTCATGGGAAAAGTATGTTACAACTTACTGGTTTAATGGTTAAACTGTCACACTTTGTGAAATAATTCTTACTACATACTACTGGCTTTCAAAAGGGAGAGGGTTTTCTAAATACATAAATGTAAATGGTTCTCATATCAACATAAAGAAGCAAATATATTCTCTGCAGTCTAATAACAAAATACTTTTAGTGTTCTATGTTAAAATATTTGAGAAACTATAAAGCACTATGAAGACAGTAATACAAAATAAAGGCATGAAAGTAGAATTAGGTAATAATGGAAACAGTGCCATCTACCTTCATATCTAGGCTTTTTATGCCAAAGTTTCCTGCTCTTCTTTTTCTTACTAATTTATAAGTACATACTAAAAAAGTGAATGACAGATATTTTAGGCTACAACCAAAATCAATTAAATGTATATTACAAAATATCAGACTCAAGGCAGCTCTCATGTTCTTACATGTTTCACTGCATCTCTCTGCCATGTTATAGATCAAGTGATCAACTGCTGTATTTTCCTACCCTTGAATGACCACTTTTTAATGAAATAACAAAACACACAAACACATGTAACATTTCTTCCTTGCAAGCATTAAGGTCTCAGCAAGAGTCTTCTAAAAATAAGTTTTTAAAATTACTTTTCTTTAAGGTAGAGTTCTGTAGTTCAAACCAGAATATTCCCCAAGAAAATTTTCCCAGAGAATCTAGATCGAATGCTATTGAAGTTGCAAATGCTTCAGCAGGAACTAAGGGCACATACCCCCTGATTTTAGATCAAAATCTTCACATCACCTTTGAGATGGCTCCTGATCCTAAACTGGCACGATACTAAGGAAAAAAATGCTGGGTTTTGTATTCATTGATGATTCCCAGGACTAACTCAGTATCCCAATCCAACTACGTACCTAACTCAATTTCAATCTCCCCAGGCTTTGCTTGCATGTGGGTATTTTTCCACTATATTACTTCCCCTTGCAGCAGGAGTCTGAGCACTTAAAGCCTTTTATCCCCCAGACACACTGGAAGCATTTGACCCAGGGAATACAGATGCACAAAAACAACAGCCAAGATTTGTTTCACTGAAAGATAAGCAAAATTCAGGCAAAATAAAAGTGCCTGGCCAGCATGTATTCCTTCTACTGAATATCAAAGGCTTTTGAAACTCCATCATGGGGGAAGGGTCTTTGCTGTTGAATTTTTAGGTAGATCAATTTCGACTTGTCAGCACAAGTAATAAAAAGAAAGGAACCACAATACAGTTCCTTCATTCATCTGAGTGCAAAGAATCCAGCCTTCTCCGGTGTAAAATAACACTGCCATACCTTGGCAAGGGACTGATACCCACCAAAATTAACCGTCTGGTCACTGCAGCAGTCTCTAAAAAACCATGGGTTTGATTCCTGATTGACTAGATACGGAACAATTTCCCGCTCTCTAACAACAGAGCTAATCACGAAGGTAAACAAAGAAAACCCAAAAAACAACAACAACAAAAAATCACAACACATCTAATGCATTCTAAGTAAGGCTGTCAATTACTGGGGCAATAAAAAAACCAAAAACTCATTTTTCTTATTATTTATATTTCATACAAGGTTAATATACTCCTAAGAGGATTCATTCACATATTTTCTCACTCAACTGGCAGGGACTAGGTCTTAGGCAAAAACTGCATAGCTAAACCGTGTCTTGGTACCGCATAGAATCTAGAATTGCAATTTCCAGCGAAACGTCCTGCTCACAGAAAGACGACTTTTCAGCACCTCGGCTCTAAGGCAACCACTGCGCGGGGTCAGGGATAGGAGCAGCAGGAGCCCGTAAGGTCCTCAGCTCTGTTCAAACCCCACTTTGGTCCCGCACTGGGTACGCGGCAGCACGGCGCTCACAATGGACCCCGAGGCAGCGGACAGGCCCCCCACCCTCCATCTCTCCGAACGCTCCAGGGACGCGGCGAGGAGGAAATGGCTTTTCTGTGCCGCCTTCTCCTCCCCACGGGCCGCCCGCCCCGGCCCCGTCTCACCCCCGCGGGCCCCTGCGGGCAGCGCCGCTGCAGCGCCGGGGCGGAGCGGCGGGGACCCGGGCCCGCCATGGCGGCACCGCCGCGCTCGAACCAACCGCCAGGAGCCGCGCAGGCGCACTCGGGGCCGCGGGCGGTGCCGACCCGGGCGGGCACAGCCGGGCAGGGCAGGGGCAGCCGCCGCCATGGGCCTGGCGGGGCGGGTACACAGCGTCGTCATCAGCATCGTCATCAACAAACACACCGCTCCTCTCGCTCCGGCACAGCGCGTCCGACCCTCGAACGAACAGCACCCTGGCAACTGGACCACTCAGCGCCACCCTCTTAACACCACCAGTGACGGTTATCCCAACACAGGCCTGGGTCCCTCATTCCAATGCCAATCAGCCTTTCTGGGAAGAAATTGCTCCTGCTGCCCTCCCAAAACCTGCCCTCGGTAGGTCTGTCACCTGTTGGCTTGTCGCTGGTTGCCTGGGAGAAGAGGCCGAACCAGCCCCAGCTCCAGCCAGCTGAGTGAGTGTAGAGAGGGGTACAGTCCCTGAGGACACCTGAAGACATATTACTGCCATCCTTTGAAAATAAACTCCCCAAATAACGCAAATCTAAATGTGTATTGCCCAGAGCAGAGGTGTAGACTGTAAGTTTAAATACACCCTGCGTTTACCCATGCATACTCACTCTTGACAGGCAAAGTGGTAAAAGGTACGAGCACGCTGGAGTACACAAGCTGGAGCCTGCAGCAAGGTCAGAGAAGTTGGCCACAGCTAATAAACACTGAACAGAGTCAGAAGGTTATACTTAATGTATGTCAGGTAAAATCCCAATGTTAACTAGATGTCTTTCATTAAGCCAAGTGCCTTAGTAATAGTTTAAGTAAAAAAAAGTTGGCATATTGCTCTTACACAACATTGATCAATCATTTAAAAACTATGCAGACAGAATAAATCAACATCTACCTGACTCAGCCTGCTTTCTGCACACTGCAATACCTATTAACTTTCAAAGGCCTTCAGTGTACTGTCCAGCAATCTGCATCTATCATCTGCACATTCAAAAGAGCTTCATGAGAGCAAGAACCAAGTTATGCAAGTCATCTTCTTTTAAACAAACCAAAGTGAAGACAAGACATTTATTTTAACAAGACTAGGATTTAATTTTTAAAATTTGACACTTAATACAAATATGTCAGGATAACACAAATACACCTGAAATATGCCAGTGCCTGAACTTTATTTACCATGCAAAAAATCAATTAGAACACATAAAAAATTCAACTATAGCCTGTAATTTTACATTTATACATCAGAAGTGTCCATTTTAAGAAGTTGAAATAATTAGTCAATAACATCTAAGTACTGATTTATACTGCAAAAACATCTGTATACTCAAAGAAATAATTCTATATTTGCCCACAGTCTGTAATGACAATTCTTCCATTTACTAGCCCTTTAGGAGAACCAAAGGATTCGATCTTTTTCACAACATCCATTCCATCTTTCACAAACCCAAATACCACATGCTTGAAGTCCAAGTGTTCTGCTTTTTTAAGTGTTATGAAGAACTGAGAATTATTTGTATCCCTGCCCTTATTTGCCATTGACAACAATCCAGGACCGGTGTGTTTCACTATGAAATTCTCATCTTCAAATGCTGTTCCATAAATCGACCGTCCACCTGTTCCATCATGGTTAGTTATATCTCCTCCCTAAAAAAAAACAAACAACCAGACACAGCATTAACTGACAAGTTCCAAAACACAACCCAAAAGTTAACTTCCTTTCAACAGTAAAGACTTTGTTTTGGAAGAACTCATTTTTATAAGTATCAATATCTCCTTAGATGTAAGGCTTCCCAGCTTCAGCAGGTTTGTTTGTGGTAAGGGAAGCAGTAGTAGAAGGTGGATCCCTTGTTTATTCTGAACACAGAACTTCCTGCTCCCCACAGTGACATTCCTCTAGACCTGTCATTCCTGCTGCCTGCATCACTTGGCCCTGGAAGCAGCCTGGACCTGCATTATCTCCTTGAAGGCCTGTCCTTGCTTAGTCCCTGCAGGCACAGAATTCATCACCTGACAAAGGTTAACAAAGCAGTGACCAATAATTCCATACAGCTTTGCCACGCAACTGGTTGAGCAGCATGGTAAGTGTGTGTCTTATCTTTCTGGAAGGTAGCAAACTCCTGACAAATTTGAGCATACACATACATCTGACAGTGCAAATTGTACAGCCTTAGTTCTCATTGAAGAGCTTCTCACTGTACCTCAAGAAAGTTCAGGCAAAGCAGAGCAAACATTTAATCACATTTAATGTGATAGAAGTTCACTTTGTCAAGGCACACATGATACAATTAACTGTTTTAAAATAGTGTCTGCTCCTTTCTAGAATGCAGAATACCCTGAAATAAGCTAAAATCCTAAATGAGTTTATCAGAAAGGCACAAAGGTTTAACAAAAGAACCATTAAGTGCATACTTCAGGCCCACGTAAATAGCTAATCAAAAGACAGACTAATATTTTATTCTGGTGACAAGCCATTCATATACTATCACAGAATGGTTTACACTGGAAAGGACCTTTAAGATCACCTAGAACTCCCCTGCCATGGGCAGGGACACCTAGAACTAGGACTGGGCTGCTCAGAGCTCCATCCAGCCAGGCCTAGAACACTGACAGGGATAGGGCCCCTACAACTTCTCTGGGCAACTTGTTCCAGTGTCCCACCGCCCTCACAACAAACAACTTTCTCCCAACATCTAGTCTAAACCTGCTCTCTTTTACCTAGAAACCATCCCCCCATGTCCTGTGACTACATGCTCTTGTAAAATGTTTCCCTCTATCTTCTTTGTAGGCTCTCTTCAGGCTCTGGAATGACACCATTAAATCACCCCTAAGCTTTCTCTTTTCCAGGCTGAACAAATTTAATTCTTAGCCTTTCCTCATAGGACCAGTGCTCCATCCTTCTTAAAAGGCTTGGCTTTCCTCTGGACTCACTCCAACAGGCTGATGTCATTATTACTTTTGTATATTATTTTCCTGTACTACTGTATACATCTGGGCTTGTAGAAAGTCATCTACATGCCTCACCTTCGGGGATGTAGTGATATGCAGATCATTAGCATAGCATGTACTGATCTTGGTTCATTCTGCCTGTTCCAAGTAACCAAATGAACTATTGATGAGAATTTTAAGAAAGGTCTATCTGAGCTATTATCAATCTCCCAAGCCTTCAGCATTTATGAACAACTTGCCAGTGCTACTGAATGCACACAGAGGTTTAAAACCAACACTGTCTACCAGGGGTTACAGATATACTGCAGGCTGATGCTCTCTGCACAAAACAATGTTTTAGTAAACAGGCCACTGCATGGTCATTGGATCTAGAAGATTTGTTTTAGATTGAAACCTAACATCTGTGATACTTCAAATGTCAGTTTTAAAATGCATGTTATCTGAAATATAAAGTGTACTTTAAAGTCCAAGAGAAGCCTGGAAAGTAAGTGTTCTTAACAGGTGAGCATACAGAAGCTCTTCTCTGGACAGAGAAGGATGAATGGTAGTTTTGGGAACACCTACTTTCCTTGGTGTTCCTGTTCAGCAACAGGCCCCTTGTCCATTTTAAGAGGACTCCACCTCCCTCTTTTTTTCTTTCTTTCACCCTGACATGACAGTACTAGCAAACACTGAAACATGAGGCCACTGGCAGGCACAGGTGAAAAGCATCTTAGGGTAGCATGTGCTGCTTGCACCGTTTCTTATCTCCTTGTAGGGAAAGGACAGATGAGACTATCCTGCACAGTGGATCCATGCTGCCAACAAGAATGTGCTATTCTATACAAGTCATTTTTTGAAGTGCTGTTGTTAGTCAAGATGCATCTCATTCTCTCAGTGAAGTCTTCCTTTTATCCTTACCTGACACACAAAGTCTGTGACTATTCTGTGAAAGCGGGAGTTCTTGAATCCAAATCCTTTCTCTCCTGTGCACAGGGCTCTGAAGTTTTCAGCAGTTCGAGGTACAATATTTGCAAACAGCTCCATGGTTATGTGCCCTAAAGGTTCATCATCAGCAGAAACTTCAAAATACACAACAGGGTTGGTGTCCTTTGACAGTCCTGCTGCCAGGGACAAGTGCCCCTTCTGTAGTTCCGATAAGCTTCGCTGGCATTCTTCAAACATCTTCTTGAAAGAATTGGCCATTTCTTGGCTTTTAAATCTGACTGCAAATTGTTCTACTTTTACTTCACCATCTGAAAATAAATCCAAGAAGGCCTGTTTAGTTTCATCTTGTAATAGTCGACAGGGAAAAACAAAACACAGAAACTACAGACAACCTAGAAAAAACAAAGACCACCTGAAAAAACTCACCAGCATAATCTGTGGCTGTCCAAATGAAAGCATTGTTTGATGTATCAGAGGGCACTAAGTTCATTTCTTTGGTGATAACATGGTTTGCACAGACTTTAAGAACTTGGTCTCTTCTCATTAGGACTCTGTAGTATTTCTTCTGTGTATGGAAGAGAATTTTTATCTCTCCAACACCACGCTCCTTCCACTGAGTAACATCCCTGTCCCATCTGTAAAGTTTTGCCCTCTCCTTGAAGAGAATTTCTTCATCTTCTTCTCCAGATTTTACCTCCACCTAAAAAACAGCACAGTAGACTGAGAACCTGTGATTTCCTATGAAGATATTAAATTATTACATATACTTCTGAAGATTCTGACATATTACAGTGGAAAATTATTCAGTGTGTTCTTTTCACCGACACCCCATTCATCACACCAAAATGGGTAAAACATTTTCAGAATTTAAGCGCCCAACAAATTCCACTGTTTGAGAGCAATTACAGCACTGCAGTCCTCCTTCACCATGCTACATGTAGTTGTGGTGGGTGTCTGTTGGTTTTGCTTTGGGAGTGGTTTGCTTGGTTGGGGTTTTCTTTATGGTTTAAGTGGTTTTTTTCTTTTAACAGAAACCCAAGACTTTACCAAGTGTTCTGGCAAATTTCCCAAGTTACAGGTTTGCTGAATGATGTGCACACTGAGAAGTGAAGACCAAGTACTGTTACAATTCCCAGAG